AGATAACACAAGAAAGCCCACAAATCTTGTCATTAAACCAGCCAGGGACACCAAGAGGAACCCCAACAACATTTACAATCAATAGTTCACAGAACAGGAAGACCTAAAGCCAGGCCACATGCACAGAACTTTTATCCATACACAAGACACTCCTTCAAACAAGGGAGCTGAACTTTGGGGCTGGGGACCAGAAAGAATGCAGAGACAGTGATCTTCAGAGCAATTTCTTACAGGCAGTGATTCTACACTATCTACAGCATGTGGTATTTATGAGTAACTGTTACAAATCCTCTAACAACTCACTTCTGCAAAAACCAAAAATCTACAACTTCACTACCCTAAAAACAAAGGAACTCATATCTAATGGCAGACATGCCCTCACATGACACTCTGCCCTGGAGATGGGATGTGGAATTTGGCTCTAATCACCCTCAATCATAGGTCTAGGACAATCCTACCACAGGCTCAGTGGCACAGCACCTGCCAAGTATATACAAGGCCCCAAGTTTGAACCTGATCACTGCAAAAAGAGTTGTTCTACCAGGCTAGAGTGAAACTCCACACTGGCCTTAAGGAAACAATAGCTCTGTGCCCTGCCTTTGAGGTCACTTCCCTCAGCCAAACATTTCAAGGAAATTCTGGCAACCTGAATGAGGTTGGGGGCACAGTGCTCTCCAGCTGAGCTGCTGACCCTGACTACAGCCTCCAAGACTCCAGAGAGGACACAGGGACAAAAGAGAGAGGCATGAGGATCACTGTGAGTTTGAGGCCAGCCTTGGCTACATAGTGAGTTCCAGGTCATCCTGAACTACACAGGAAGACCCTATCTCAAACACCACCCCCAAAGAAAAAGACAGAGACAAAAGGGTTATTTCCCTCTAGTGACTGCCTTCTACTGACCTGAACAAAGTGAATGCTGTTGTTGAGAGCTATTTAAATGAACTGAGGATTAAGATATTAACAATTGAGAGCATGAATTATGTTTCTGTGTAAAGAATATTGTTAGCCTATAGCTGGCCCTCTGTAAGAGGTAAAGTTCAAGAGGAAACAGTCTTCTTCACAAAAGAGACAGTTTAGTAATAATGGTCAAGAAATTTACATATACTAGAAGTGTTAGGGGAAGTATAATAAAATTCTTTAAAGTTTAGACCCAATACATTTAACAAACTACAATGAAGAGCAGCTCTTGATGTTTAAAATCAGTGTGTAAGCTAAAGGCACACATTTTCCATCCTACTTCTGGGAGATTCAATTAGGCAAAAAGACCTGGTGGCACACAGCACCCACATGCACATCATGTATATACAGGGCCTGAGTTCCACCACCCAGCACCCTCTCATTGTCCACCCAGCAGATGCTAGCAGCACCACACCCCTGGGCTACAACCACCAATGTCTCTGGCACAGCAATGTCCTCAAGAGGCCACAGAAAGGACGGAACCTTGCTGTGTTAACTGTGTTTTGTATGTCCAAACCAAATTTAACCATTTTATTTAAAATTTTTGGTCCACATTACAAATTGTGACTGTTTTGTTACAAACTCTGACATATAAAAATGTACTTTCTCTTGAAAACTGATGGAATTTGGAAAAATTTACACTCTATATTTAATGAGTTGTCCCTAGCAGTGTCCCCAAATTTATTTTTCCCTGCAGTTTCTTTGACCTTTCCATAAACCAACTGGGGGATGAAAGATGACAACACACATGTCCCGTGTGTAAATTTTCTGATGCACAAGAAAAATCAATCATGCAAAAGCTGAACTGGCAAGGGTGGGCTGTCTGTGTCACAATATGAAAAACTCACATACAACAGCTCAGAAAACAGAAAAACCGAGTATGATTTTCTCACTAAGGCAAAGTATACAAGGAGACTGTGGGGTGGAAGCGGCAAAATCTCTGCTCCCCTTAGTCACTTCCTAATCTCACTTCAGCTTTCTCCACCAACACTCCCAGGGCCACCTGGGGATCATGTGGATTCAGCCTCACAGGGCATACAACTTGGTTAAGAAGTACCTCATGGTCATTGCCTCACTAGGAAGTAATGCCCAAGACTAGATTTACAACACCCAACAGTGTCCAGGCACATGGTCCCACCACAATGATGGGAAACCAAGCAATGTGGGCCAGTCTACCAATGAAAAAAAGAGTGCGCTTGGGGATACAGCCACCTTTACATAATTTCTCAGGTTTGCTGAGATGTCATGGCTAATAAAATGTTTTCCTACACTCACAGGATCTTTCTCCTGCCTGAGTTTTTTGATGTATGGTAAGGACTGGCTTCTGACTGATTTCCTCTTCATTGCTCACAAGGTGTCTACCTTGTGTGAGTTCTCTGATGCCTGCTGAGATGTGACTTCTGGCAAAAGGTTTTCCTGCATTCATTACATTCATAAGGTTTCTCTCCTGTGTGAGTTCTCTGGTGCACAGTGAGCACTGATTTCTGATAGAAAGACTTCCAACATTTGTTACACTCATAGGGTTTCTCTCCTGTATGTGTTCGCTGATGCACAGTGAGGTCTGACTTCTGATAGAAAGACTTCCCACATTCGTTACATTCATAGGGTTTCTCTCCTGTGTGTGTTCTCTGATGCACAGTAAGTTTTGATTTCTGATAGAAAGTTTTCCTACATTCTTTACATTCATAGGGTTTCTCTCCTGTGTGAGTTCTCTGATGTACAGTGAGGTCTGACTTCTTATAGAAAGATTTCCTACATTCATTACATTCATAGGGCTTCTCTCCTGTGTGAATTCTCAGGTGTAAAATGAGGTCTGACTTCTGGTTAAAAGATTTCCCACATTTATTACACTCATAGGGTTTCTCTCCTGTGTGAGTCCTCTGATGTCTGCTGAGGTTCGACTTCTGGTTGAACGATTTCCTACACTCATTACATTCATAGGGCTTCTCTCCTGTGTGAGTTCTCTGATGCACAGTAAGGTCTGACTTGCGGTAGAAAGATTTCCTGCATTCATTACATGCATAGGGTTTCTCTCCTGTGTGAGTTCTAGGTTGTGAAGTGAGCCCTGACTTCTGGTAGAAAGATTCCATACATGTGTTATACTCATAGGGCTTCTCTTCTGTGTGTTTCTTCTGGTCAGTTGTAAGGTATGCTTCCTTAATGAATATTTCACCACAGTCACTACATATGTGGGGTTTCTCTCCTATGTTCATTCTCTGATATTTAGTGAGTGCAGGGTTTGAGTGGAATGTCTTCCCACATAAGTTACATTCAAGCATCTTCCTCCCTACCTGAGTTATCTTTTGGACAATGAGAGCTGACTTATCACAGGCTTGCCCATGTTGACTATATTCATAGGACTCTCCCACATGCACCTGCTGATGTATGAAGAATACTGCCTCTGTGTTGACAGCCTTCATTTCTCCACTATGCTCAAAATCCTGCTGCCCATTTTGAATCCTGTGACGCTGACTGAGATACTCAGGATGTCCACGGGATTTCCCAACCATACCATGGGTATCAGGTCTTGTTCCAGCAGGCATCTCATCAGGCACACTAGGGAGGAGCACATTCTGATACACAATAAACTCTTCAGTCCTCATTCCTAAGTAGTTTTCATTATTTATAACCAGCTTTGAAATATGATTGGAGCTCAAATCAAATGTTCTTTCTAATCCAGCTTGTTCCTCTGTTGCCTTGTTGTTGGTGATCACAACTTGCCACAGACATCTGTCTGGACTGTCCTGGCTGGTCTTACCCAGGTCTTCCACTTTCTGGACATCTAAAATGATCAATAATGACAAACATACTCCTAAGCCACATTAAGCATTTCTTATGGAATGCTCATGTAAAGGTAAGGAAGCTTCTTCCCATCCTACTGGCTAAAAATTATAAAATACCAATAACAGGTATAGGCTTATGGTAAGTATATGGAAAGTATATGGCTTATAGTAAGTCATTATATTCACTTTTCCCCTAAAGTGAATATAATGAGTAATTTAATGCTTTTTACAATATTGTGTTTTTCTCTGTTTCTTCAAGGTTTTTTTTTTTTTTCTTTTAATATCTGAGGAAATATTTAGTCAAAATATTTCATTGCTGCCTAGTTGTAGTTTTTTGTTTTTGTTTTGTCTTTTGAGACAGGGCTTCACTATGCAATTTGGGCTGGTCTTGAACTCTCTTTGTAGCCCAGGCTGGCCTTGAACAGGCAGCAATCCTCCCACCTTAGCCTCTTGAGTGCTGGGATTACAGGCATGAGCCACCATACCCAGCCCTGGTTGTAGTTTAAAATTAACTGTTGTTCATCTGCCATTGGTTTTCCGTGATCTTCCAAAATATTTTTTCTTTTTAGTTGCAGGCATTTTGTACTGCTTCTCTTATCCTTTAGTTTTGAAGATGGTAAGATCTCTTAGGATCAGCTATGGTTGGATGCATAATAGAACCACTTCCTTGCCTGGAATCTAAGTATGAATGTCTCCCGAGAGGAAGGATTTGTACCTACATTTGTTTAGTCTTTCCTCTTCCCTGGAGAATGGCTATAGGGACCTGTGGGAGATTTCAACTCTTTCCTTCCCCATCCTAGATAAAAAGAATGTCCTCCAAATTCCAAATATAACCTAATATCCTCTGAGTCTCAAAACTCTAACACAATTCCACCACCTGGCCACCCTGTCCTGGTTCTGTACCCCCAGATTGTACCCACCATTGCAACAATCCAGCCTTGTTCCCCAGGTCCTGCTGCAGCCCTGCTTGATGACAAGTTGCTCCTGAAGCTTTTGTTCAATAAAATGGCATTTCATCTGCCTCATTTTACAGAAAATGAAATTTACCATACATTCTTTATTCTCTTTGTTGTTTAAGAATGATGTCCACAAAGAAGAGGGGAAAATTCTAACTTCAAACTCCACTCCCACACAGAAATCGGAGCTCCTCAACAGAGTTCAGGACTGTGGGAACTGGGAAAAAGACTGCTGAAAACAGCCCAATACAGCCTCATCAGCTGGGTTCTTTCCACCCAGACCCCTTCCCAGGACACAACTGACCTGTAAGGGTCGGGCTTGGGTGTTCTTCTCCCATCCATGGCTGTGCTCCCTGCTCCAGTTTGATGGTCTCCTCTGGGCTGGGGGTGCAGTGCCCTGTTAATGGGAAATGGTGGAGAGTTCTCCCTGGGTTAAGTCCTCCCTGGTACCCTGACTCTGATGTCCTGACATACAAGTGTGACTCATAAACCTCTTCCCTCAAAGCTACTACTGATTTCCAAAGTTGTGTATCTACCAGCGATATACACTCTCTTAGATTATATATTCACCTACATATTATATAATAAATTGGGACACTGTCATCTCAAGAACTGCCTCCCCTTAGAACCCTTCCTAAAATACCCCATTTCCTACCTCATCCTGGTAAAGCATTCTTTATGGCTCTTATCTCACAATGGATATACACAGTCTGCCCAAAAAATGTATACACAATTCAGGAGAAGAAAAATAGTATGATATTTTTTCAACACATGGTGCTACCCTCATATGGGGGACCCTAGGGAATGTCATATATCACAGAGAAGCCACTATAATGCCAGCCCTTAGAGAAGAAATTGAAAATGCATGCGCAGCAATCCCAGTGATCAAGGTTACCAAGCAGCAGTTTGTTGTACTAATAAATGTCTGGAAGCTAACAGTCACCACCTTGAGCACCTCTTGTAATTATAGAGGTCAAAGGTGACTTGTATTAATCTCATGATGTCTCAATAAATTTAGTATTAAAATATTTATAAAGTTTTTATTTTCCTAAAGTGTGTATACATTTTTTGGGTGGACTTTGTACTTGTTTGGGTTTTCTCTTTTGAAAGAACATAAACTCTTTAAAAGGAGATATATTTGTTTAATTACTATTATCTCCACAATCACAAAACACTAGCACTTATGAGTTGCCCAATTCTAATATGTATGGAAGGAATGAGTAAATGCATTAATAATAATAATAATAATAATAATAATAGTAATAGTAATAATAATACTATAAGGCCTTGAGAATAGAGGAAAAGGGGGCAACTGAGAACTTAAGAGAAACTCACACTAAAAGAGCCAGAAAATGGCTGGAGTTGTAGAAGTCTAAGAAAAGTAGGAGGTGGTGGACCTAGTCTTGAGAAGCTGTGCAGCAAGTAGCACAGGCATCTGACCCTGAGGAGCTGGAGAAACACTCCACAAACAGCCCAGCACAGCCCCATCAGCTGGACTCTGCTCTTCCTAGCCCCTCCCAAGGACACAACTGACCTGTGAGTGTATGGCTTGGGCCTTCTTCTCTCATCCATGGCTGTGCTCCCTGCTCCAGCTTGGCGATCACCTCAGGTTTGGGATTGCAATGCCCTGTTAGTTGGAAATGAAGCAGGACTTCTGGCATATTGCTATTTCAAGGACTTTGAAGAAAGCCAAATGCCAGGCATGATGACACATGCCTATAATCCCAGCACTTGGGAGGCTGAGGCAGGAAGGTGGCCATAAGTTCAAGGCCAGCCTGGGCTACATAGTAAGATCAAGGCCAGCCTAAACTATATAGTGAAACCCTGTCTCAAAGAAAGGACAGGGACAGGGACAGGACAGCACAGGACCAGACCGAACTGGACCGGACTGGACTGGACCAGATCAGACCGGAACAGAACAGAACAGAACAGAACAGAAAAGAGAGAAGGAGCAAAAGAAGGAAGGAGGGAAGAGAGAGAAAAGAAAGCCAACAGTATGGTTTCAGGAGCTGTACCATAAAGGGGCCAGTGTGAGCCTTTTGTAGGAGAGCAAAGATACATCCTTCATAGGCTGGACCCTTACACCTAAATGCTGTGAAACCATTTACCTGTTCTATATACTGAGAAGAAAGCACTTGTTCCTGGAAGTTACTGTAATATTTCACTCACCCAAGGACACCAGGCTGCTGTAGGTCTCCAGCATCACATCCCTGTATAGGGTCCTCTGAGCATCGTCCAGATCCTGCCATTCCTCCCAGCTGAAGTCCACAGCCACGTCCTCAAATGACACTAACCCCTGTAATGGCATGTTTCTCTTCACTCAAGTCATCAGCCCTACAATCTTCAGAACACAAAGTCTGGGAGATCAGTGTGTGTGTGTGTGTGTGTGTGTGTGTATACAAGTGTGTGTATATGCACACATATGTGAGAGGGAGCTTGTTCTACACTCTGCATGGTGGGAGAAAGAAAAACCACAGCAGAAACATCCTGCCTCAGCACTGATTTGTTAATCACTAAAAATACCATCCTGAAGTTTCCCATATAGATTTGGGAATGTCCATGTTGCCAGGATAAAGGCAGGACATGAATTCTCCACTAAGGAGCACATGATCTGCTATGATGACATGAAGCACAAACACATGACTGCAATCAGCTAATTTAGATACAAACTCAAGGTAAGTCAGAGAAATAAGGAAGTAAAAAAAAACCTACATTTTTCTGTGTTATCAGGTTGTGCTTCACTGAGAAGTCAAAAATGTTTATATGTTCCAAAAGAATATGCCTGAGGAAAAAGAGACCAGAACAGTGCAATCACGAAATCATAAAAAACACACAGCACATTAACAAAAGTAAAAAAGATACCTTTCTAGGTAAGCAGTCCTGAGCTGTGATGAGCGAAAAAGGCAGTAAGGGCATTTGACAATCTGATTACAGAATGATTCTGACTTAGATACTCAACATACTTCCAATAATAAATACTTCATATACTCACTGCTGTTAGCAAATTACCTAGAGATTAATGTTATGTTCACAGGCCCCCTTATATTTCCCTCCTAAATTCAAAAGAATTCCCAGTGTGCATATGACAGTGAATATCATCCACCTTCTAAAACATATGGCACAAATAATAAGAGGCCAATAAAATTTGCATTGACAGTCAACCCTAAAAGGACAACAAATAGCTTACAGGAGACCAACTTTGAGGTAGAAATGATTTCCACTTGGAGAGATCTGGTCTTAGTCACATGCTTAATCAACAGAACCTGGCACTGTCAGAGCACTGTTAAAGTTATCAGAGATCAAAGAAAGCACTTTAATTTAAGAAAGCGTTTAATTTTAGACTGAGTATTATTTTGTACAAAGAATTAACAATCATCTTATATGTTGTGATACAAACTATACTTATTTAAAATGTTCAATTAAGAAAAAAACAAGGGAGAAACTTTATGACATTGGATTTGGTTATTTTTTCTTGGACATCAAAAACCTAAGTAAAAAAAAACAGATAAGGGGAGGGAAGGAAGGGGATGAAAAAGGAATCAAGATGTATTTTGTACATATACCAACTCCCCACAAGGAATGTAAACATTATGTACTACACATATATACCAATAAAAAAACAGGTAAGGTAAACTAGAAAATTAAGACATTTTGTGCATCGAAAAGCAGTGTCAACTGGTCAGTGGATTTTGCTGTAATTTAGGTTACTAGTGAACTTCTGAAGAAATGAATTGAGAATTCACTGAGTAGGCTAAAGTACCAATGAGCAGAATCTACCAGAAAATACAACTTAGCAAAGCTTGCTGTATACCCTACAGACACACAAGGTGAGGAAAATGTACACACAGTTACTCCAGGACAAAAGGATGGCTCAGTCTTCCAGGCTGGCCAAAAACTATCTGGGACCACACTATTTTATCAACTTCAGAAAAGCCTATGTTAGGTGGTTAAACATGACCAGTGACAACAATGGGTGCCTCAAGTCTCCCAATTCAATATGTCATCTAATGAGGGTGACTGCCTCTCATCATGACATCAGAAAGACCAGAGACAAACCTGCACTCAACCTGGACACTCTAAGGTTTTGTAATCTGCTAAATCTATATACTAACTTTATTTATGTATACTTCCCTAAGGCTCAATTTTTTTGTTTGGTTGCGGGGGGCGGGTGTTTTTTAAGAGTAGGAAAATTTATTAGGGAAAAGGAATGAGGAATAGGAATGGGGAATAAAAATAGCTCCTGAGAGGCAGGAAGGGTCCCAAATGGGTTGCCCCTGAGTCTCAATCTTAGTTTTCTACTTTTCCACCTTAATTCCTGGACCCCCTAAAGTTCATTATATAAGATGTAAAACAAAATGAGGAATAAATAACTCACCAGAGATTTATTCCATTTTTGTTGCTCTTGGAAATGCACAGAAGATTCTGGAAGCATAGCTGGGACTAGAGGTGAACAGAGTGGAATCATAAGAGAATGCATGTGGCTGTGTCCTAAATTCTCCTGCTCAAAACATTAAACATGAGCTGGATAAGAAAAAAATGGGGGAAAAGAGGCTCCTGTTGGAGAACAGCCCTTTACATCTCAAAGAAGGATATCAGTCAGAGATATAGTTCAGTGACATAGCACCTGCCTGGCAAGTGCAAGGTCCTTAGTTCAATTCCTGGTACCAAAAAGAAGAATCAAATAAGGATATCAAAGTCCCTACAACCACACAACCATAAGCCCATTAGGTGGTACAGATTAGAATAAAAATTCATTTTGGGCTTATTTAAAATAGCAGTTACCCACGGATTGATCAACAATAACATTCCCCAAAGACACAACTGAATCATTTAAGCAAAAGGAAAACACACTGTGCTTTCACTAAAATTTTTGCTAATGAAATACTCTTGGAATGTATAAACTATTTTCCCACTAATGCAGGGATACACCCTAACACTCCACATGAGTGTTTCCCCTATATTCCCTGCTTTTGTACACTTAAACTTCATGGAAAATATGCATGTTGACATCCAACTATTTTCACCCACAATTACAAATGGAAAATGTATATAGTATATATTTCTTGAGATGTACCACTCCAATAATGGTTCCCAATGTATCTCCCAATATCCAAACACTCATAAAGTACCCTTGGACAATGACTTGGACTCTGCCATTTGACTTGTCTTGACCAAGGCACAGTATATAAAATGCAGGCACAGACTTGAGAAGCACTTGCCTACTTGTGCTAGTTTTCTTATATAGTCATATTGTGAAGAAGCTTGGAGCTGTCCTACTGGAGACACAGGGCCTGAGCATAACTTGCTGGCCTTGTGAGTGAAGCTATCTTAAAACAATCAGCCACAGTCAAGGTACCAGATGACAAAAGCCTTTTCTATGATCCAAGCAATACTAGTAAAAATGCCCAGCTCAACCCACCATCAAATGTGGATCCACAGAACTTCAAACAAAATGGCTGAGTACTTCTGACGGTTATGTGTTGGCTGGTTTGTTAATATAGCAAATACTGTTCTATCTAATCATCCAGAACTTATTACTCATTGTTTTTGAACAAAATTATGTATAAGAGAAAGTCTTAAAATGTAATTAAATGAACTGTATGGCTACATATACAAGTATTAAAACTCACAAAACTTTGTGGACTTCAGTTAGGTTGCTGGTGCTAGTACAGGCTACATAAATCACTAAAAAGCAAATGTATGCATATTAATAGACTGTCTTAAATTTTTACTCATTATAAAATGTCTAGTGTTTGGGTTTTTTTCTTTTTTTCCGGAACAGGCTCTTGCTATGTAGTTTAGACTTTAAACTGGCTTCATACTACTAGTGATCCTCCTGCCAAAGCCTCCCAAATGCTGGGATGACAGGCATGTGCCACCACTACTACCATGTTTACTTTTTTTTTTTTTTTTTTTGTCTTTTTGAGACAGGGTCTTGCTATGCAGTTCAGGCTGGCCTTGAGCTCACTTTGTAGCCCAGGCTGGTCTCGAACTCACAACGATCCTCTTGCCTCAGCCTCCTGAGTGCTGATCAACAATAACATTCCCCAAAGACACAACTGAATCATTTAAGCAAAAGGAAAACACATTGTGCTTTCACTAAAATTTTTGGGATTTTTGGGATTACAAGTATACACCACCACACCTGGCAAAAACTCATCTACTTTGGTTTTTTTTGGGAATTGAACTCAGGACCCTGCACTTGCCAGGCAGGTTGTTGTACCACTGAGCTATCCCTGGCCCTTAGCATGTTTACTTTAAAAAAACAAAATGGGCTGGGGATTTAACTCACCAGTGCATTGCCTACCTAGCAAGCATGAGGTCCTGAGTTCGATTCCTGGTACCTCCCAAAAAACACACATACAACAACTCTGTTACAGGTTGAGTATCCATTATCTAAAATGTTTGTGACCAGAAATGTCTCAGAGTATTTTGGATTTTGGGATATATGCATAGGTTTTTCTGAATGAATATCCTTAATCTGGAAAAATGGAAGAAAATTTCCATGCAGTTTACTTTTCCCATTTTAAGTAATGTAAAATAAGTTCATTTTTTTTTTGAGAATTTACTATTTTTAACAAGAGACTAATAACCATTAAGTGGAACACTCTTGTGTTAGTAACATGTTGAGGTCACATAATCAACAGAAAGTGCTACAGATAAAAAAGATAGGTGTGGTTAAGGCAAGGTATTCTAAAGCAATGTATGTGCCACACTGACCTCAGCTTTGCAAAATCAATCTTAAAAGTGAAATAAAAACCTGTTCTGACTAAATTGTGGCAAAATGAATAACACTAGCTAAAAATGAAGATGTCTAATATCTTAAATCGTGTTACCCTAGGCAAGACACATCACTTCAAATCCAATTTTTTTAATCTTTCATATAAAGCAGAAGAATCTTGGCAACCCTTTTTATTTATTTATTTTTTTTTTTTTTAGACAGGGTCTCACTGGGCAGTTCAGGCTGGCCTTGAGCTCACTTCATAGCCCAGGCTGGCCTCAAACTCACAATGATCCTCCTGCCTCACCCTCCCAAGTGCTGGGATTATAAGCGTGTGCCACCACACTCAGCCAGCAAACCCTTCCTGAAATAACAAGAACCATTAGGCTAAAGGGAGCACCAATACATCTCAAGATGTCAAATTTGGTGACAGATTAGCTTTGAAGAGAGAGACTGAAGGAATAGGAATGAGGTTAGAGAGCACTGCTGATATATCCTCCCACATATGACAGGGCAACCCTCCAACCCAAACTCTAC